ACTTATTCCATTTTTTTTATAACCCACATTTTTGCAAGTAATTTATTTTCTCGTATACAATGAATTCGTCTGAAGTTGCTATGAAGGTTGTAAGATCAGATTTGGTGGTCTCACACTTCTGAAACAACTCAATGTATAGTTTTTTAAGGGTGATTTCTGTAGCTTCTAACATAATTTTTTTTTGTGCAAATACTTGGTTTTCCATTAAAACTTAAACCGGTTTGATTTATAGTCTAAAGAGCTGGTAGTATAGTATAGTCTACATTTACTTGTTTTCGGCAACGAAATGATAAAAATATTTTAAATCAAGATACATGGTTTTTACATGGCGCATAACTATTTACTTAGCTAGTTTCCCACTAAACATAGCGGAAAAAAGCTTACACATAGAACGTTGTTAGGATAGGGGTTTAGGTTTGGGTTTCATATTTAGGATTTTTGGGTTAAGGGGTTAGGTTTAGGGTTTATTTTTGGGGTCATGGGGTTAAAATTTATTGTTTTTTTTGTTTGTGCAAAGGTTAAAATTTATTGTTTCAAGTTGAAGTTTTAGAGTTTAGAGTTTAATACTTAGAGTAATGTGTTTTTTGGTTAAAAAACCTTTCGAGTAATGTGTTTCTCGTTTATATGCACCAAAGTTTGTACATATGTTCACTTATTCTTGTTGTATTTATGCTAATGTGACATCAACAAAATATTTTGGAGGGAAAGTTACCATTTTTTTCTTTGTGGGTGGAAGGAAATTATCTCAATTATGGAAGGAGAATATTGTCCAAAAACATTTCTCTTTGTTATTCTCTAAATTTTTTCATTTATCATAGCTATATTCTTAATTCTCAATATTGTTATTGAGCAAATTAGCCCTTATTACATTTTCTATGTGTCTTATTTTTTCTCTATACATTTGATTTTTTAGAAAGTAGTTTCATATTAAACTTTATTTGAATATTTAATTGACATTTTTGAAAATATATTCTTGTTTGAAATCCTTTTTTTTACATTTTTGAATTGTCAAAAGAAAAGTTAAAAGTTTCTTTTAGTTGAAAATAGGTTTCTTTTAATTTGATGTTTGAGCCAAAAAAAAAAAAAATTCCGCCAATTCATCTTTTGATTGGAATAAAAATATTTGGCAAGTTTGTACAGCACTAAAAATCAAAAATTGCCTTTGTATATAGATGGTAAAATTTTGCTGGTGGTTAAAGCTTTGGCCACATGGAACTGCTGTAGACACCTATAGCAAGCGTTGTGGCCAGCATGGCAAACTCACAACCTCTCTGTGCAACTCCTTCAAAGTGCAGCAAAAATGATTACTCTATTAGATGTGATGAGAGCTTGTGATTGGAAGAATATTGTAAACTAAATAGATACAAATCTGTAAATATCTTTATATATTAAATAATACAATATTTATTTTTTATTATCTTTTACATCCTCTAATAGTAACACTATTTATTATCCTAGGAATTGGGAAGAAACATGAGTTTTATAGTGTTTTTAGCAAATTCAGTTTGACTTAGTTTGGGGAAATTACCAATTCTAGACCACAATTTGATTTTTTCTAGTCAACTAGACCACAATTTAAATCAAATGCAAAACTAACCTCTTTGGGTAGTAAAATTACCCCACAAGCCCTCATGACCAAACAAAAAAACGCATGCCTCAATTACGATTATAACCTCCGGAGCATGTAGATCTACCCCGTAGATCTACCTGGTAGACAATGTTAGAGGTCTACCTCATAATAACATCTTCAATTTTAATTAACAATTAAATAAAAAATATTTTTATACAAACAAAAGTATGAATAATTCTAATATAGACATTATCATATACAAAAAATATGAATGCATACAAATGAATGATTTATAGATAAGCAAAGACATATAGGTTAATATCTATAAAAATGTGTGAGGTCTACCGAGTAAGTCTACTACTCCCTCCGTTTCAAATTAGTTGTCGTTTTGGCAAAATGTATCTGCAAATATTTGGACGTATCTACAATGCAAAACACGTCCAGATACGTCCAAATATTTGCAGATACATTTTGCCAAAACGACAACTAATTTGAAACGGAGGGAGTATATCATTAAACTTAAATTTTTATTATAAAAATTTAAAAGAAAATATTTTGATGGAAATTATTTATACATAATTACAATACAGACAACTTGCATCTATCTAAAATATAATTTCATAGATTTGAACCAACTGAACTATGAAAAAAAAAAATAAAGTTAAAAGCCTATAAAACCATAAGAGGTCTACCAAGTAAGTCTACTAAATAATAAAATCTTAAATTTAAACTAAGAAAATTGTAAAAAATAATTTGAAATATTTATTTCACAAATAACGAAATAATAGACATTTCACATCTATTAAAAATAAAATTTCATAAAAAATCATGAATCTATCATATGTAAATAGTTCATAAGGATAAGAGTTTGAGTATATTGTTTAGGAGTTAATGGGGAGAGTTGTAGGGTTTTGAAAAATTTTAGATGAAGAATTTTTTTTGGTTGGTTTTACGATTCAATGTTTGTTTATTTGTGATATACACTGTAAATTGACAATATGGCAAGCAAATCGTTGCAAAATTGTATCTAAATGATTCGATTTAGGGTTTAGGGTAAAGTAGACCTAACAAGTAGACGGATCGCGTAGACCGAAGTGGAGGTCTACCAACCCTTTTAATCTAGCGGGAATCCCAAAAAATTTAAACCAAAGTGGCGGGAACTGGAAATTACCAGCTGAAATCGAAATATTTAGACTTTGTTAGTAGATCTCTTTAGTAGACCTCGTTAGTAGACATTAAATCTACTTAAACCGGATATTTCACTCCAAAAGAAATATACCACTCCAATTAAACCGGATTGATTTTAACTAAACCGAAACAAATTAACCTTCATATATAAAGAAAGAGTTAACCTAATTGTGTTAAAAAAAAAAATCTCGATCTCTCTCTCAAACGGCGCCTCCCTCTCCTCTCTCTCCTTGAACCTCCGCCCATCTTGTTCATCATCTCTATCACCGTTCATTCATCTCTTTCACCGGATATTTGCCCACCTCCAGTCTCTAGCCGCCGTCTGATGCACTAGTAAGTCATTTATCTCCTCTCCAGAAAAAATCTTAATCAGATCTGAGTTGCAACATAATGTATTAACTTTTTTTTTTCTAGATCTGGGCGCCATAGCCTCTTTAGAGGAAGGAGGATCCGAGCACAGAAGAGATGGGAATCTATAGTTCTTCTTCCTCCTCAGCCTACATCTCCTTCTCCGATAGCTACCGTCACCGCCGACGTAAAACCCACAACTACCACCGCCAAAATTCCGGGTATTCTAATTGTCTGCGCCATTAGCGTTTTTAAACCAATTTGCTCCATTTTTTTGTCTAGTTTGTGGTTTAAAGCTGAAATTAAATTTTTTGAGTAAATGTGATATTGTTAATGTGCTGGAGAGTGTTGGGATGAGACTTGTTTCTTCACAGTTCTCCTTCTTTCCCCAAAATTCGTCAGATCTGTTCTCACATGGCGTTTTTGCTGAATTTGATAAAATTTAGCTTTTGACAAGAAAAGCCAAAAATCAGTATACCTGGATAGGTTTGCTGCAATTCCAGCAACGTTGAAGGAGCTACAAGTAAGCTTTTTCTTCTCATTATTTGAAATCCTTTTTCTTTGATTTGCAAATCCTAATTGGATAGTGCTCATTTGATGATGCAGAAAAAAAGGTGTAAAGACAACAAGCTTGTTATAACTGCAGAAAGGTGAGCTTCCTTGTATAGGCTATGATAAAACAGTAGCTAAAGTAGAATTTTAGATTGGTAAATAACATTTTCGCTCATGTTGCAGCATCACATATGTCCTGGAGATGTTACATGGGATTCAGAATGAAAACAAGAGCTTAAAGAAATCTTTCAAGGTAATTCATGAAACTTAAGTAGTCTCTGATTCATTTGCTTTTGTAGAATGCATTTTAAGTAGTCTCTGATTCATGCTTATTGTGAAGTCGTAGCTTAGATCTAATCACAAATATCCATATTTCGAGCTTCTAACATTTGAAAGCATTGTTTGAAGTAGTTTCTGATTCATCATTCCTTTTTGTCCTGTCTATTGGAAAGGCTTGTGCTTGTGGGAATAATGTAGGTGTTTGGTTTATACTGCAGCTTCCTAGCATTGCTGTTGAACGTGGAAGTGCAAGCATTGTTTATCAAATTGCAGAAAAATGGAATTTATATTCCAAAGGAGAGGTATGCTCAAGAAGAAGCTGAGAAAAAGGTGCATTTTTCTCTTTTGTTTTATAATGAATCTCAAGATCTTGAACTCTTGCGGTTTTCCTCTTTATGTAGAGAGACTTGGTTCATTTCCTCTCGGAGAACTTGCTAACGTTTTTTGTTTTACTGATTGGAATTGTGTTAGGCGTCTAAAGATAAGAAGAGCTTGGATGTCGGTGCCAACAACCTCTTCATTGGAAACCAAGCCCTTCATTGGAAACCAAGCCCTTCATTGGAAACCAATATGCATGCAAGATTACACAGAAGCTGCCACAGTTGTGTTTCTATTCTCCGTTGCAGATGGAAGCTTTTGTAAAGCCAAGCCTTTTTCTTAGTTTTAAGTACTTTTAGTTTTAAGTTTAAACACTTGTTGCTTTCGAATTTGAGCTTTTTAGATTGTAAGACTTTGCATTTGCACTTCTAGACATAATTGGTGTTGTCACTTGATGTTTTCTGGAGGACTCGACCAATCAATTACATAATGTTTGATCAATAGTTGAAACCAAACTTGCCCAAAATTTGCTAACCCTTTGGTATATTACTATATGTCAATGACTATTAGCACAATTAGCTTCTTCACCTAAAACTAACTACCAACTTGGTATATGTCCAAAATTTGCTAACCCTTTGGTATAACAGAATTAGCATCTTCACCTAAAACGAACTACCAACTTGGTATAAGGTCTTCCTATGCCTAGAACATTCTTCCATATCCCATATAGTCAGCTTGTACCATTCTAGAGCTCCATGTAACATTCTCCCTCTTTTCCTTTATCCATCTCAAAATGCCATGACTTGTCTTCCATCACCACCATTTTCCATAAACGGAAGCTAGACAAACCATTACCTGCAACAAAAACAAACCAGACCACAAAATGGATTAGTAGACAGAAGGTGTAGACCGACAAGGTAGACCCACAATTTGGTCTACCAGAAAAATTAAGCTAGATACCTAATTCAAAAGAAAACCGAATATAGCCTTAATTACGCCGAAAGAACATTTCAAACTCACACAGAAGCAAGTAAACAAATAAAAACAACTAACTGTTCGAGATAAATTTCAAAATATTTGATATATTGAAAGGAAAACGACATTTTAAAAAACCATAATAATAGACCTAAAACGTAGACGTTCGGAGTAGACGTTCACGGTAGACCTCCACTTAGGTCTACTCCACGTGGACGGCCACGTGGAGGGTTAGTTTTGCAATTGATCGAGAAAAATGTTTTTTTGGAGGTCTACCTTGTCGGTCTACTACACGTGGAGGGTTAGTTTTGCAATTGACCAAACGTTGACTTTTACACGAGGTCTACCGTGTACGTCTACCAGAAAACGTAGACCTCTCAATCGGTCTACCAAAAAAAGTAGACCTCTGAATTAGTCTACGCCTTAGGTCTACCTACCGAAAACAGTTTGTTTTGCCGTTGACTCAAGTTTGACTTTCCTCGGGTAGACTTCCGTGGTAGACCTCAGTTTTTTGCGTTGACCAGTAGACCTCACTTGCGGTCTACCGGATGGTAGACCTACACGGTAGACCTCAATGTCGCAAAATCTCTCCTTTTTGAGGAAAGTCAAACTTGAGTCAACGGCAAAACCAACTTTTTTTTTTAGGTAGAGTAGACCTCCGAAAAACATTTTTCTCTATCAATTGCAAAACTAACCCTCCACGTGGAGTAGACCGACAAGGTAGACCTAAAAAAAACATTTTTCTCAATCAATTGCAAAACTAACCCTCCACGTGGAGTAGACCTAAGTGTAGGTCTACCACTCATTTTTTTTGTTTGCAAAGGAAATGGCACAGTCAACTCTGCGTTGACCAGTAGACCTAAACTGAGGTCTACTATGTAATGGTAGACCTACACTTCAGTCTACCTTCGCAGACCAAAACTGAAATTCTTAGAATTTTGAAAGAAAAGTTACTTGGCCGTCGGAGAAAGGCTCTTCGAGGGCTGATAACTTCAATTTAGGCTTCAATTACGAGTTCCGGTCATCACTGTAAGCTAAACAATTGGAAATGCCAAGACCCAAGATTTGAGTTTTCTTTTAAGTTTTTGGGATGAAAATGGAGAGAAAATGGAAAGAATAAGAGTTTGTGAGATGAAAGAAGGAGAAATGCTAGCTCCAAAGTGAGTTTTCGAGCATTAACAGCTCCAAATTGGGTAAAAATGGTGGTTGTCAACATTGATGATATGGCATTTTGGCAATTAAGTGTAGAAGATGAGGGGTGTTTGGTCTTTCAGCAGATCTGGTAGACCTAAATATCGGTCTACCAATCGAAAAAGTAATGGCATTCCCGTAATTAATTGGAAAAAACTGGACAAACTTAAAATGAAAAAAACAGGAGGTTAGTTTTGCATTTGACCACAATTTTGGGTCTACATGTGAAACAACCCAACTTAGTTTTCTCTTGAATCTATTTTTTGGGATATCCAATCAGTTAAATAGGGTTACCCCCTCACCTGAACTAGGTTCGACGTACACTGAAGATACGGAGGCTCGAGAAAAGAAAAACTGATCATAAAAGGAAATCGATAAATGACTTTTCGCCAAAGTTCAATAAGACAGACCTTCAAACACACATGTATACTTATTCCATTTTTTTTATAACCCACATTTTTGCAAGTAATTTATTTTCTCGTATACAATGAATTCGTCTGAAGTTGCTATGAAGGTTGTAAGATCAGATTTGGTGGTCTCACACTTCTGAAACAACTCAATGTATAGTTTTTTAAGGGTGATTTTTGTAGCTTCTCACATAATTTTTTTTTGTGCAAATACTTGGTTTTTCATTAAAACTTAAACCGGTTTGATTTATAGTCTAAAGAGCTGGTAGTATAGTATAGTCTACATTTAGTTTTTTTCGGCAACGAAATGATAAAAATATTTTAAATCAAGATACATGGTTTTTACATGGCGCATGACTATTTACTTAGCTAGCTTCCCACTAAACATAGCGGAAAAAAACTTATACATAGAACGTTGTTAGGATAGGGGTTTAGGTTTGGGTTTCAGATTTAGGATTTTTTGGTTAAGGGGTTAGGTTTAGGATTTATTTTTGGGGTCATGGGGTTAAAATTTATTGTTTTTTTTTGTGCAAAGGTTAAAATTTATTGTTTAAAGTTGAAGTTTTAGAGTTTAGAGTTTAATACTTAGAGTAATGTGTTTTTTGGTTAAAAAACCTTTTGAGTAATGTGTTTCTCGTTTACATGCACCAAAGTTTGTACATATGTTCACTTATTCTTGTTGTATTTATGCTAATGTGACATCAACAAAATATTTTGGAGGGAAAGTTACCATTTTTCTTTGTGGGTGGAAGGAAATTATCTCAATTATGGAAGGAGAATATTGTCCAAAAACATTTCTCTTTGTTATTCTCTAAATTTTTTCATTTATCATAGCTATATTCTTAATTCTCAATATTGTTATTGAGCAAATTAGCCCTTATTACATTTTCTATATGTCTTATTTTTTCTCTATACATTTGATTTTTTAGAAAGTAGTTTCATATTAAACTTTATTTGAATATTTAATTGACATTTTTGAAAATATATTCTTGTTTGAAATCCTTTTTTGTTACATTTTTGAATTGTCAAAAGAAAAGTTAAAGTTTCTTTTAGTTGAAAATGGGTTTCTTTTAATTTGATGTTTGAGTCAAAAAAAAAAAAAAAATTCCGCCAATTCATCTTTTGATTGGAATAAAAATATTTGGCAAGTTTGTACAGCACTAAAAATCAAAAATTGCCTTTGTATATAGATTGTAAAATTTTGCTGGTGGTTAAAGCTTTGGCCACATGGAACTACTGTAGACACCTATAGCAAGCGCTGTGGCCAGCATGGCAAACTCACAACCTTTCTGTGCAACTCCCTTCAAAGTGCAGCAAAAATGATTACTCTGTTAGATGTGTGAGAGCTTGTGATTGGAAGAATATTGTAAACTAAATAGATACAAATCTGTAAATATCTTTATATATTAAATAATACAATATTTATTTTTTATTATCTTTTACATCCTCTAATATACATTGTAGCACTATTTATTATCCTAGAAATTGGGAAGAAACATGAGTTTTATAGTGCTTTTAGCAAATTCAGTTTGACTTAGTTTTCTCTTGAATCTATTTTTTGGGATATCCAATCAGTTAAATAGGGTTACCCCCTCACCTGAACTAGGTTCGACGTACACTGAAGATACGGAGGCTCGAGAAAAGAAAAACTGATCATAAAAGGAAATCGATAAATGACTTTTCGCCAAAGTTCAATAAGACAGACCTTCAAACACACATGTATACTTATTCCATTTTTTTTATAACCCACATTTTTGCAAGTAATTTATTTTCTCGTATTCAATGAATTCGTCTGAAGTTGCTATGAAGGTTGTAAGATCAGATTTGGTTGTCTCACACTTCTGAAACAACTCAATGTATAGTTTTTTAAGAGTGCTTTCTGTAGCTTCTCACATAATTTTTTTTTTGTGCAAATACTTGGTTTTTCATTAAAACTTAAACCGGTTTGATTTATAGTCTAAAGAGCTGGTAGTATAGTATAGTCTACATTTAGTTGTTTTCGGCAACGAAATGATAAAAATATTTTAAATCAAGATACATGGTTTTTACATGGCGCATGACTATTTACTTAACTAGTTTCCCACTAAACATAGCGGAAAAAAAGCTTACACATAGAACGTTGTTAGGATAGGGATTTAGGTTTGGGTTTCAGATTTAGGATTTTTGGGTTAAGGGGTTAGTTTTAGGATTTATTTTTGGGGTCATGGGGTTAAAATTTATTGTTTTTTTTTGGGCAAAGGTTAATATTTATTGTTTAAAGTTGAAGTTTTAGAGTTTAGAGTTTAATACTTAGAGTAATGTGTTTTTTGGTTAAAAAACCTTTCGAGTAATGTGTTTCTCGTTTACATGCACCAAAGTTTGTACATATGTTCACTTATTCTTGTTGTATTTATGCTAATGTGACATCAACAAAATATTTTGGAGGGAAAATTACCATTTTTTCTTTGTGGGTGGAAGGAAATTATCTCAATTATGGAAGGAGAATATTGTCCAAAAACATTTCTCTTTGTTATTCTCTAAATTTTTTCATTTATCATAGCTATATTCTTAATTCTCAATATTGTTATTGAGCAAATTAGCCCTTATTACATTTTCTATGTGTCTTATTTTTTCTCTATACATTTGATTTTTTAGAAAGTAGTTTCATATTAAACTTTATTTGAATATTTTGACCTTAAATCTATATATAAATACCTAATTGACATTTTTGAAATTATATTCTTGTTTGAAATCCTTTTTTGTTACATTTTTGAATTGTCAAAAGAAAAGTTAAAGTTTCTTTTAGTTGAAAATGGGTTTCTTTTAATTTGATGTTTGAGTCAAAAAAAAAAAAAAAATTCCGCCAATTCATCTTTTGATTGGAATAAAAATATTTGGCAAGTTTGTACAGCACTAAAAATCAAAAACTGCCTTTGTATATAGATGGTAAAATTTTCTGGTGGTTAAAGCTTTGGCCACATGGAACTGCTGTAGACACCTATAGCAAGCGCTGTGGCCAGCATGGCAAACTCACAACCTCTCTGTGCAACTCCTTCAAAGTGCAGCAAAAATGATTACTCTGTTAGATGTGATGAGAGCTTGTGATTGGAAGAATATTGTAAACTAAATAGATACAAATCTGTAAATATCTTTATATATTAAATAATACAATATTTATTTTTTATTATCTTTTACATCCTCTAATATACATTGTAGCACTATTTATTATCCTAAGAATTGGGAAGAAACATGAGTTTTATAGTGCTTTTAGCAAATTCAGTTTGACTTAGTTTTCTCTTGAATCTATTTTTTGGGATATTCAATCAGTTAAATAGGGTTACCCCCTCACCTGAACTAGGTTCGACGTACAGTGAAGTTACGGAGGCTCGAGAAAAGAAAAACTGATCATAAAAGGAAATCGATAAATGACTTTTCGCCAAAGTTCAATAAGACAGTCCTTCAAACACACATGTATACTTATTCCATTTTTTTTATAACCCACATTTTTGCAAGTAATTTATTTTCTCGTATACAATGAATTCGTCTGAAGTTGCTATGAAGGTTGTAAGATCAGATTTGGTGGTCTCACACTTCTGAAACAACTCAATGTATAGTTTTTTAAGGGTGATTTCTGTAGCTTCTCACATAATTTTTTTTTGTGGAAATACTTGGTTTTTCATTAAAACTTAAACCGGTTTGATTTATAGTCTAAAGAGCTGGTAGTATAGTATAGTCTACATTTAGTTGTTTTCGGCAACGAAATGATAAAAATATTTTAAATCAAGATACATGGTTTTCACATGGCGCACGACTATTTACTTAGCTAGTTTCCCACTAAACATAGCGGAAAAAAGCTTACACATAGAACGTTGTTAGGATAGGGGTTTAGGTTTGGGTTTCAGATTTAGGATTTTTGGGTTAAGGGGTTAGGTTTAGGATTTATTTTTGGGGTCATGGGGTTAAAATTTATTGTTTTTTTTTGTGCAAAGGTTAAAATTTATTGTTTAAAGTTGAAGTTTAAGAGTTTAGAGTTTAATACTTAGAGTAATGTGTTTTTTGGTTAAAAAACCTTTCGAGTAATGTGTTTCTCGTTTACATGCACCAAAGTTTGTACATATGTTCACTTATTCTTGTTGTATTTATACTAATGTGACATCAACAAAATATTTTGGAGGGAAAGTTACCATTTTTTCTTTGTGTGTGGAAGGAAATTATCTCAATTATGGAAGGAGAATATTGTCCAAAAACATTTCTCTTTGTTATTCTCTAAATTTTTTCATTTATGATAGCTATATTCTTAATTCTCAATATTGTTATTGAGCAAATTAGCCCTTATTACATTTTCTATGTGTCTTATTTTTTCTCTATACATTTGATTTTTTAGAAAGTAGTTTCATATTAAACTTTATTTGAATATTTTGACCTTAAATCTATATATAAATACCTAATTGACATTTTTGAAATTATATTCTTGTTTGAAATCCTTTTTTGTTACATTTTTGAATTGTCAAAAGAAAAGTTAAAGTTTCTTTTAGTTGAAAATGGGTTTCTTTTAATTTGATGTTTGAGTCAAAAAAAAAAAAAAAATTCCGCCAATTCATCTTTTGATTGGAATAAAAATATTTGGCAAGTTTGTACAGCACTAAAAATCAAAAACTGCCTTTGTATATAGATGGTAAAATTTTCTGGTGGTTAAAGCTTTGGCCACATGGAACTGCTGTAGACACCTATAGCAAGCGCTGTGGCCAGCATGGCAAACTCACAACCTCTCTGTGCAACTCCTTCAAAATGCAGCAAAAATGATTACTCTGTTAGATGTGATGAGAGCTTGTGATTGGAAGAATATTGTAAACTAAATAGATACAAATCTGTAAATATCTTTATATATTAAATAATACAATATTTATTTTTTATTATCTTTTACATCCTCTAATATACATTGTAGCACTATTTATTATCCTAGAATTGGGAAGAAACATGAGTTTTATAGTGCTTTTAGCAAATTCAGTTTGACTTAGTTTTCTCTTGAATCTATTTTTTGGGATATCCAATCAGTTAAATAGGGTTACCCCCTCACCCCAAACTTCTCTTAAGTCATAATGGGTCGACGATCTATTTCCCCACAAAAAGTATGCCGTCGTATTAGTTCCACCTCAAACTTTGGCCTCGTTTTATTTCCCCATCATATGATAGTTTCAGATCTAAATCCCCACAAATATAAAGTTGTAAACTCATTTCCCCCTGAATTCAAATACGATGGTTCAATAGCAAAACCCGAATACCAACCCATCGATCCCCTTAGTAAACCAAACTAAAACTCAAATCATACCAAAACCAGACCCATAAACCCAGAACCGTAGACCCGCTTGGCGATATCAAGAATACAAGAATGACCAAAATGTATCTTAATCCATAACCAAAAAGCTGAACAAATTTATCATAATCCATAACCAAAAAGCCGAACAAAGTGTATCAAAAACATGACAAAAGGTATCATAATCCATTGCCAAAAGCATAATTATAAGGTCCTACTTAGCCGATGAAAACTGAAAAATACTAAACCAATCGCTTCACTCAAGTGTTTGAGAAGCATTGGGTTGAGTGAGAGTTCCTTGTGAGGATTCTCCAAGCCCTGAGCGACCTTCCAACAGTTTCTATGAAAGAAAACATAATACAAAATAGAAACATATGACTCACAACCAAAATTCAAACAAAAAAACAGTACCACATAACAGTTACAATGAAACAGAAACATAAGATTCAAACATAAGACTCAACAAAAAAAAACAGTGACACATAACAGTTAAAATGAAACAGAAACACATATCTGTGAAGAATCATCCTTGTGAAACCTCGAGTTGTGATTAGGCGCACCACAAATTCCGCAATGCATGATCCTCTTCTTCGCTTTTGGTTGCTTCTTAGTTGGAGACTCATTAACACCTTTCTTCCTTGTCTTGTCAGCCTTGGTGAGCTTCTTCTTTGCTGATTCTTTTCCTGCTTCTTTTGATGCTGCTTCTTCTTCTGGTACTTCTGGTTCAGGTGGAGCATGAACATCCGGAGAATCTGTTGCTGGCCAAAACCGAGAACCTCTAATTGGAATTAGTCCATCTGTATAGTTTCTTCTCCACATAAGTGTCCGAAACCAGTGGCACACATAATCTTCAACATCAAGCTTCAGCTTCAAGATCACACCATAAGCATGCTTACATGGTATTCCAGTGATGTCCCACTTCCTGCAAGAACACGACCAACTGTCCAAAGAAACACGGTGAGTTA